GATTCTCTAATCATATTCTGGACAAATGAAGGGAAATTTGTCTACACTACCAAGTCATAGAATATTATAATTAACATACATAAAAAATGAAGAGTATGATATGTCTATTCGAACGTTTACTTGTGTGTCCATGACATATGCGTGTACATGAAACGAAAGGATGGCTTTATGACAAACATTGGTGCAGTCTAAATTGTGTTCTTTTATCTTCTCACCTATTCGATTAGGTCAACGACAATGACATGTTTGCTGGATATTTCCATTCATGTTCACTACGTTCTCCTAATGTTTGGGTAGTGCTAGGCCTAGCGTCTAATGCTTAGATACCTAGGCTGATGACTAAGCATTGCCTAAATGTTTTAGTAGGAGACTGTGTTTCGATCAATGCAACATGAGGGCATTAAGAGGTAGAAGCACAAAGAGAGACCAGGTATTGAATGATCTAAACCCTAGTCTAAGCCAAAGTCATATCGTAATAACCAACAACATCATAGCGAGTTCGACCTAGTAAGATGTTTGAGCATGTTGCATGTGTATTTTTGATATAGAGCAGCTGTGTAAGTGTTGGCTGGCTTAGGTGTCACCACCATTTAATTGAGAGCATCTAAGGGCGATCTATGTGGTTGGGATTTTTCTTTTGCCTAGGCGACTTAAGCAGATTATCACATCGCTTTTGTAAACTAGGCCCTTCTCCAGTCCTCCTTGTTCTTACTAACCATGACCCTAAGCAATACATTTATTGACATTCTTTCTATATGTTAGGACCATTTTGTTAGTGGCGGAGCCACCTTGGGGCCTTGGCTTCATCTTGAACTAATAATAAAAACAAGCATATAGGCATACATGGGCAAGGAATAAATAACTGGTAAGATGTTAATAATATTGTCACGTGTATACAAATCTTTGATAGGCTATTAATTTCATAATACTATCAACCCATGTTACTTGGGTACTTCCATCATGAAGCTGTACCTGTACCTGACACGTACTTGACACGTTCCCGTACCGAATCTTCATGGGCAGTCCTTGAATATATGCATACATTTATTATGACATGTACTCATTTATATGATATATGTTTTAATTTAAAACATAATTGAATATTTCTTGGACGTATAACTTACACTTTACATCCATTTCTTAAAACTAGTTATACATGTCGAGTTTGTTTGGGCCCATACCCAAGTTCAAAGCTATATATTAAAGGGTTTTTTGGGTGTCTAGTTAAAAAATGAGTCGCTTCCATATAAAAGAAACTTAAAATTGTGATAGGATTTTTAGTTCTAATGACATAGGAAGTGAAAAACAATGATGATCTCATGTATGTTATTAATTTAGATACATATGTAGTCACATCCCCGTACACTGCATTTTACAATTTTGTCATGTCCCATACCCGCACCCATACTGGTACCTGTACCCGTTTCCATATAACTTAGTATTTAACTGCATTCAAATATAAGATTTAGGTTAAGGAAACTTG